TATTAGCATTAGTCGGTGGATTTAGTTATGTTTCATTTAAGGTTACTAAATTCTTTTATGCAAAGTACAAAGATCGAGCTAGAAATATAAAATCGAAAAAAGAATAATCGAATACTTTTCATTATATTATAAGAACTATCTTTTATATGTAATCATTCTTTATTTTAAAATATTCTCTACTGTATATTTGTGTTATAGGAATAAAATGGAAATGATATCTCGTAACATAATCAATTAAATAACAATAAATCATGTTATATTAAACTTGATAATATTAATTTTTTGGTGTAGCATATCCAATGTGTCATAGACAATATTAAATCTTATGATGTTAACTTAGAATGTAATTATGAATCTCTAATTCATCTACTTGACAATAAGTACGTATACAAATAGAAATTCCTAAAACATTTCCTCTTATATCGCTGTTCGGATTATTTCACTCGTGTTAGAGTAATAGTTAAATTGAATCCAATATTTCAATGACCAAGTCTTTCCGTTGGTGGTGTTACGCAAAATAGTGTAACAAAGTTAACTATTATACTTTCGACTGTAATAGTTTAGTTTATTCTGTAACTAGTATAGTTCCCACCTATCAATAACATTTTTAATTGTTCCGTTATTTTTAAATGATTCCTCCCTTGCTTCCTTAATTTGTGATGTGTAAGTACTTCCGTATCTACAGCAATTTTCAGGACCGGCTATAAAATAATCGGCTTGTATTAAAATTAATTTATCAAAGATTCCTTGGATACCACTACCACTAAGTTCCTTTTGTAATTGTTTCGTTTTTGTAGGATATAGTGATAATTTAAGATAATCTAACGCGTGTGTTGAAACCCAAGTGTTTATATTAAGTGAAGAATTTAAAATTCTCATGGCTATATGGTGTTCTTCATGTATATGATGAAATGTATCTGATTGTGGCTTATTATGCATATATTCAGCAAGTGGATAATCCGTAGCCAAATAAATATTTGTAATCCCACTTGTTAATGAAAAGTTTCTTATATAAGTAACAAGACTTTCAGCGCATTTTGGCATAAGAGCTAAGTGACCTCTTTCCATACGCCAATGAATTGCGATATATGGTTTTAATTTGTTTGCAAGGTTTGAAGCCGCATTGGTTATATGACTTGCGTGTGGCATCGGTGTAAGTCTTTCAAATATCGGACCTCGTATTCCTTCTTGCGTTATTAGCATAACTTCAGCATTACTTTCTAATTCGTCTGATAAAAATTGTTTCAGATCATTATTTTCACTACCATATCTCGAGTATCGGCCATTATTACCGATGCCTATTCGTTTAAATGTTGTTGAATTATTTAATTTTAAATTAAATTTATCCATGCCATATTTTTTTAAAAATTTACCAATGTGTGGGGTTTCATATTGAATTGTATAATTTGGATTAGAATTAAGCTTTGAATTTTCAAGCGATACATGTATGGTATCTAATTTATTGTACCGCTCTTTGGCCCATTTTTGAAATTTATGTTGTAAAATAAATTTTACTTGCTGAAATTTTTTGTTTAATTCATCAACGTTATAATAGAAGTCGAAAGGAAAATCTTTAATTGATGATATACGAGATCCTCCAACGTTAGTTAACACCATTGTGCGGCCCATTTGTTGCGCAATTTGTATGAAAGAGTAAAAATGTCTATTGGATTGAGATTCTTGCTCTTCAACAGTATACGCGAATAAAAATTTACATTCATTGGCACCACAATCTTTTCGATTTATCTCGCTGTCTAATGTTATTTCTTCAATTTCCTTTGGATCAGTGCGGAAAATGCTCCAAAGGGCAAAAAGAAATAATAATATAATAAATATTTTAAAAATATATAAAGTTGGCTTTAATGGTATCTTAACTTTCATTTTTTCTAACTATATACATTTAAGGCACGTACGTACTGTACGTATTTAAGGTATGTACGTTCGTACGTATATACGTGGGCTTTTAAATAATTACTTTTTATCAAATTGTGCAAATTTAATTTATACATATTTCTCAATAGCGTAAACAATTAAGGAATATCCGAGACATTAGTGATCAGATTTGAGGTTATACAGTATATAGTCAGATGCAAACTCCTAATTCTACATACAGATACACGGATCTGCTCGGTCCCAACTCATATGAAATTTATAAATTTTTATCACCTAAATGCAGTATCCCCTAAACGCAAGATTTGATAATTTTTGATATAAGCCTTCGGCATTGAATTTGCAAAGTTTGACGAGTTTGACTGTACTATATTACTTCTGGGAAAACCTTATAATAGTATTGATGAAGTCTGTATAGATTTATTTGGACGGATTATTAACATGAATGCACTAAAATAGAAAGTCAATAATTTTATTGGTCTATTGAATCGATCACTACTTTGACAATCTAATTCTAAGATCGCCAATCTTAATAAATGTCGCAGATCATAATGAACTCGGATTAAAATGAAATGAGGGGTTTCTATTTGACCTTCTAAAACCCATATATACTTGTTTATTATAAAACCTGCTTCTAAACCCTAATTCTAACCCTAAAAAAAATGCTAAAAAAATGCACCCAAAAATTTGTATTTTTCGGTGGCTTGTCTAGTTTACATTATCCCTCATTTCATTTTAATCTGATTTCATTTTAATCTGCCACAATAAATAAGGTATCTGCGAGATGCCGTCGCACTAAAAGCTAGGAACGTAAACAACAATATTCTATGAATGGAGTTATATTAAAAATTTAACGAAGTGTATGGTTATATCACAAATTAAGTGGTGGTGTATGCATTTTATTTGATAATATATGTGACAAAGTAGGGATGTGAATGCATACCAGGAATTTCACGTAGTAGCATCAAAGGGCATATGTAATACCTTCTTCTGAATACAGGCAACTTCTGCGCACGATTTGATCCACACTTGAATTCATATGAATCCATATTTACTGTTTTTCTCATAATCTATTTCACAATTAAGTTTTAAAATTCTTATATTCAAA